TGCAAAATACTTAAGCAAAGTTGACCAAAGTTTAACAAATGCAGAACCTACAACCTGTTATGTAAGTCAAGAAGGAACATTCGTACATACATATTTAGATTAACATCCACGTACATGCAACAGAAATCGCGAATGTAGTGAGGAAACAATTCCAACTATTTAATTCTGTGAATATTCATCTCTGGCACATAGCAGGTGCCACAAACAGGTAAATACTTCGATACGTCATCTATATAGCTATAGAATGTTTTTAAGTGTTCCATAATCAACAAAAGTAAATTTATTGAGAAATTGTAATTCATTGAAGACATCATCAATTCCTACCCACAGCTAATAACAGTTCTCAAGAGAAATGCATATAAAAGAGACGCTTTAGGAGTTAATTTCGTCTTGGGGTATGCTCAGGCGACGCTATTACCAACCAATTAACCGTAGTGAAATCACCATAGCCTCCTTTAAAATGTAACGGCAGTTTTAGCTGTCTTAAAAAAGGAGGAAGTTTGTCATTTCATTGGAATATTTTTGTCTGTTTTTTTAAGAATGTGAATCGTTTTCGATTTTTTATCGGTAAGTTGTCAAGTGTGGTCCCATACTCCTAAATTTTTATATAAGCATTGAAGTCAGTTGTATTTTTTGCTTAAACATTACTTGTCAAAATTTAATACATCGGGGCGCGGGTATACAAGAAAATGCGGGTTGGGTCGGCATGCTTTGGGAAATTATACGTGTATTAATGATCCCATCTCGTCACTTTATAAAGCTTTTTAATCTATTTATTTAAGGAGTATGCAAAACTTCTTAACTGGAAATTATAAATAAGTTATAAATTCTTTTACGTGCATATACAAACATGCATACATACAAACATACATATGTATGGGAAAAAATGCTCGTAAATATTTGAATTCCTGTTCCAAATGAAGCATCATAAAAAACAAATCCAAAACACTTGTTAAAATAACATGGGCTACGACAACGTGCGTACATACTTAAATATGTATTGGCAGCAGCAATAAATAAAAATAAACGGCTTTAATATAAAAAAGTATAATAATCAACGGTTGGGAGCATTTTTGTAGTTTTGCTTCGCTGCGTAAAAACGCGCTTGACCAGAAATTGCGGCGCAAATGGGTAAAACGGCATAACATGTGCGCCAGCGACAGTGCAAATACAGTGTTTTTTTTTTTAAAATACACTTACAGTACATATAACCACCCAGTAGTCAACGCCCGGACATATACACACGAAATTTGCTAAAGTAATGGTGGGCATATAGAATTAAATTTTTGAAACTTACTAGAAACTTAACCAATGCGCGTTTACAAAAATTTTGTGATTCACAAGCGAACAGTTCATTTGATGTTTGACGTCATTAGTTTTACTTATTTCGTTGAATTTCTTCGACTGAAAAAAAAAAATTATCTCTCCATCTATGATATTTTAAAGAAATTACGCTATTTTTCTGGGAACTAAATTTGCAGAAAAACTACGCGTAGTGTTGGGGAAATTGAAATGAAAAAAAAATTAACACCATATCCTGTAGAATATTCATTAGAGCTCTGTTTGCATCTGTTTGTGTATTTTCAGCTGATTTGATTTTAATTAATAAGTATTTTCTATTTATATCGTCAGACAATCAGCCAGAGTTATGTATGTATAAAAACTTTCGCAAAAACTATGAAACATGTAAATAATTACAAAAATACTTACAGTGGCGGTCAAAAGTGGATGGATTGTGCTTTGTTTTTTATATTTGTAATGTTTTCCAAGCAACAATTTTTTGATATTTTTTTATAAAAACTTGCTTCATGCTTTAGCAAAAACCATATAAATCACACTTTCAAACTTTATACAGACTTTAGAAAATTCCACAAATTTTTCTCTAAATTTTGAACTTTTATTTTAGACATATTTTGGGTATGCAGTTAATAGGCTTATACAATTTTATTAAAATTAGAAAAAGTCTTGAACATATAAAAAATCGCATTGAGTTTTAAAATTAGTTATTTTTTGTTGATGACGTTTGCGGTTTTTTCATACCAAAAAAATTCTAAAAATTCCAGTTAAAAAGCTCGAAATTTAGATAAAAATTTGTGGAATTTTTCAAAATTCTGTATTAAGTTTGAAAGTGTGATTTGTATGGTTTTTTGTAAAGCATGAAAAATTAGCTTGAAAAATATAGTAAATATTAAAAGCGAAACACCATTCACTCACTTTTGACCGCCAGTGTATGTAGGTGTGTATGTAAAAATGTTTACTTATTTATTTAATTGCTGAGGACTGTGAACCTTTGCTTGATTTTGATATATACATACATGCATACATGTGGACATACATACATAAATTCTACATTGAAAGTATATTAATTTTTTTGACAGTGTTTTTAAGAATTTAATGAATAATAATGGCTGATATCAATTAAAACTTAATTAATATATTTGTTGTTTACGATAGAATGAATTGCGCCGATGTCTAAAGAGCAATTCTGAAATTAATTTTTTGAAGTAGATCAAGAAGGAAATCGTTTTAAATTGTAATTATCATTCCTAGGTTAAAAAAAAAAAACAAACTGATTACTAAAAGCTCTAATACGGAAATTTTCACAGAAAAAAACAGTACTAAAATACTAAAAAGTACAAGACTTATTAAGTATGAGTCATATTTATTTACGATTGTTTAAAAAAAATCCCATTTAGCACGTGTTGTGGTTATACAAACATACATACATACCAGTATATATGTATGCACACAAATATATTAAACAGTAGCAAAAATATTTGTACGTAATTTTCTGATTTAGCGATGACCATTACTTGGTTTATGCCGTGGGATTACCTGATTTAATCGCGTTGTGTTTTATCGCATACCAGCACGTTTTGATATTTGAAATTTAAAATCCAACTTACTTATATGTAATAGTAAACAAGTACAGAACTTTGAGCTCGGAAGAAATCCAACTTCATGTACATACCCGGCACACATACAGTGACGCACTAAATTATTGGCACATTGAGAATTTTTCACATACATATGTGCAAAATTTTTTACTTTTGTTTTTTTCCACGGCTTTTTTATAAAAAAATATAATTCATTCTACAACAAAAAAAATAGAAATTAGTTCTCTCAACTTTGTGTAAAACTCAAGAAAATTTAATAAATTTGCATACAAGTTAGCAACATTTTAGTCAGATTTTATTCAAAAATTTCTAAGTGTGTAGTTTTATAGCTCATTTATTTTTGAAGTTGGTTAAAATTCGCCTTAATTTTTGGCAATTTTTTTGGCAATTTATTCCATACAAATTTGTTAAGTGGGATTTTTTTTATATTGCTGTAGGATGACTGGGTTAGCCGACTTGTAGTTGAAGTTTTGGTTACGAAATTATACGGAAGTTACATTAAAACTTCTAATCTTACATGAAAAATTTGCCTTGTGTATCGCCCACATACAAGTGAAGCCCAATCGCAATAAGTCTACGTTTTCAGTTTTTCAGTATCATATCCAATGTTAAGGATAAATTTTTTAAATTTTTAATGGAATTTTACAGTTATTTTAAACGGATAATTTTTAGAATTTTTAGTATTTCATAGTATTTTTTGCATTCTTATCTGATTTGATATACATAACTTAGGTAGAAAATCAAAAATATCGCCAAGTGAGTTCTTGTGCTGAGAAAATTTTTACTGACGGTTTAATATATTCTACACGTCGTTAATCAGTATGATCGACTTGCCAAGGACCAAGCCAGACTTACATCGCACAACCACTGGCCCCAACATTGTACTGACAACCACCATTTTTACCAACTGTTGCCCCATGAATGCCGTCATCGGAGTTCAACCATCTCCCATTGCAGATGAAGAGCTTCAACAGCATCGGGAAACCCCTTGTATATGTATGTAAATATATAGATATTTATGTAAATATGTAGGTATGAAGGCAACCATTACGACAACAACCACCTCTTCACTTGCTTCCATTAAAACCATTTAGCTAACAGCCCTCTACCGTTAAAGAGCAAGTTTCTGGGGCCTACTGGTATTTGAAATTAACGACAACGGTTGACGGACTAGCCGATTTAGACAGCGCTGGGTAGCTCTGCTACAGCAAGAATAACAAACGTCCAGGCTTCACAGACGACTGTAATGAAGAAGTCATAATCCGCAAGCCGCAATGGAAATGAAACAAGCTGCATTCGCAAAGTTACAATTGGAAGTGAGATAACCCGTAGGCGTAGAGCTAATTGCCTGTCACGGTAGCAGTTAGATGGTGGAGCTGTAGCCAAGATCGGTCTAAACTTCTACATATGAAACACTTTGTTGAAACCGAAGACCGACCGTAATATGGATGTCTTCTTGCACTTACTTGCAACGGGTAATTGATGTAAAATACCCCCCATAGAGAAAAACTAAAAATGCCCTGAATGACATTGTTATCCCTTAGTGTCATTGAAAAACTAATAATTTAATAAAACTAAATTATTTAATTAATAAATTAATACGCTCCAGCTCCAATGTGTCTGCCATAAACATGCCCATTGTTTGTGCGGAATTAAATTTTACTGGCGTATTCTCTGTTAGCTATTAATAACAAATAAGATCTAGAGGTGCTCGTGCCTTGCATGCACATACTGCCCATTAATTAAGTTTATAACATAATAAATTTTTTTTTTTTTTTTTCAATATTCGCGGGTACACATGTGATTGCATGCAACGCAGTCATCTATTGACTGCAAGTCTTTTTTGATTGCGCTGTGACCCTGCATTGCCTTTTTTTGCTTAATAAAATGGTCATAAAATTTTATTTATACGAGATAGAATTGTTTAAAGGCATAAATTGTAGCATTTTCGCGATTCGACTTCCTAGAATATTTGCAAAAACCATATAAGCATAAATAAAAGGCTTTGCGTGACACATAAACATTTATGTGAGAGCACACATACATACATATGTGCATACATAACATGCATAGTACAATCGCCAAACTCAGTTCTCAACTTACCTATCGTTCTGATAGATTTCCACGGATGAATTTAATTCAGCCAATTGCTCCTTAAGTAACTGCAAATTCGAATTGACGAAACTCAGTTCTAATGCGACTGTGTCGCGCAGCTTGCGATTTGTTGTGGCCTGAAAAAAAAAAATAAATAAATAAAGGATTTGAGATATTTTCTTGCAAAGCGGCTGAATTGGATTGCCACAAAATGTATATTGATATGTACATACATATGTTTGCTTATAGGTAGTACTTACTTTGAAAAGGTTTTCAGCACCAGCGCGCAGTCGCAGCTCCTTATTGATTTCCTGATTTAATTTGCAGCGACGACTCTGCAACTTGCCTCGACATGTGGCCGCACGCGGATCGGAACCCTGCAAAAGCAAAGAACAAAAATTACGAAATTAGGATGTTAGTCATCATACTGTGCATATAAAAATAAAAATTGTTTTTCTATGCTTTCCGCATACGCATAGTACAGTAAAATTAAAAAAAAAATTGGTGATTTCTAAATTTCGCCATATCAAAACACCAACACCGCCTTCTTGATATGTCATAAAAACTGCCAGTTTTGTTTGTATGTGCCTTCCTAATTCCTTATGCCTGATAGCGTTCACAAAGAAAATTTTGAATGCTTTCTTCGCTACTTTCTACTTGGTTGACAGAGGCGGTAAGGTCTATTATATGGCAGCCCCATTCGATCGCATGCTTGCCTATCGGACAGTGACCAGTGCCACAATTTTAAATACTTCTGTCTTTGATCTATTTTGCAAGTCTGTATATTCGACCACTTTTTCCCTATCACACCAAGAAAATGCAANAAAATGGTCATAAAATTTTATTTATACGAGATAGAATTGTTGAAAGGCATAAATTGTAGCATTTTCGCAATTCGACTTCCTAGAATATTTGCAAAAACCATATAAGCATAAATAAAAGGCTTTGCGTGACACATAAACATTTATGTGAGAGCACACATATATGTACATGTGCATACACAACATCGTACAATCGCCAAACTCAGTTCTCAACTTACCTATCGTTCTGATAGATTTCCACGGATGAATTCAATTCAGCCAATTGCTCTTTCAGTAACTGCAAATTCGAATTGACGAAACTCAGTTCTAAGGCGACTGTGTCGCGCAACTTGCGATTTGTTGTGGCCTGAAAAAAAGATAAATAAATAAGGGTTTGAGATATTTTCTTGTCTTGCAAAGCAGCTGAATTAGATTGCCACAAAATGTATATTGATATGTACATGCATATGTTTGCTTATAGGTAGTACTTACTTTGAAAAGATTTTCAGCACCAGCGCGCAGTCGCAGCTCCTTATTGATTTCCTGATTTAATTTGCAACGACGACTCTGCAACTTGCCTCGACATGTGGCCGCACGCGGATCGGAACCCTGCAAAAGCAATGAACAAAAATTACGAAATTAAGATATTAGTCATCATACTGTGCGTATAAAAATAAAAATTGTTCTTCTACGCATAGTACAGTAAAATTTGAAAAAAATTGTCGATTTCTAGATTTCGCCATATAAAAAGACTCTCACCGCCTTTTTGATATGTCGTAGATACTGCTAGTTTTGTTTGTATGTGCCTTCCTAATTCCTTATGCCTGATAGCGTTCACAAAGAAAATTTAGAATGCTTTCTTCGCTACTTTCTACTTGGTTGACAGATGCGGTAAAGTCTATTATATGGCAGCCCGTTCGATCGCATGTTTGCCTATCGGACAGTGACCAGTGCCACAATTTTAAATACTAATGTCCTTGATCTATTTTACAAGTCTGTATATTCGACCACTTTTTCCCTATCACACCAAGAAAATGCAATCTGATTTCTCTTTGAATGACTGCGAGTTGAGCTTGCCAGTGCAACAGCCTCGGATTCTTCTAAGTAGGCTCCTGTCTTCGCCAATTAATCGGCCATCTTATTGCCTTAAAATTTTCTATGGCCGGGAACTCAGACAAGAGAAACGTTAAATGATGCAGACGCTGAGCATAATTCTGCTCTACATCTTCAGATCAGCTGGAAGCTGGGATGGCTGATGATGCTAATGCTAACAAAGCCGTTTGACTGTCAGAATAAACTGTGTTGCTTGCATTATTCTACCGATGCTTTTTCCTAGAACCGTACAAGCTTTAAAAATGCCAAAGTTTTACGATTGCATCGTTCTGCTTAGTAAACACCTATCCCAACACCGCAGTCCATCTATTAACAATCGGTATAGAGTGAGATTGCCTCTTTATTGGCATCTTTGCCACCCGCCAGTCTATTCTGGATCGGAATCTCAGTTGTATGTTTTGGATGCTAAGGTTAATTACCATATGGTTGATCTTTTGCCATGATTTGGTTTTGTTGATGATCATCCCGTACCGGAATTGGCGAGTTTCCCATAGTTCTGACTTTTGCGTCTGACTGCAGATTTAATGACCACTTCTTTAAGGTAGAAAAACTAAGGTATTTCAGAGTTATTAAATACTAAACCAAATTTAATTTATGTTTCTAGGAGATAGTATTTGAGGGCTCTAAATACTACAAGTACTATGATTTAGAAGATTTCTTAATACATAGGCAATCTTTGCTTTTTTATATCAGACATACTTATGTACTATGTACATATATTGAAATGCTTCGTGATTTTCAGGATTTTCAGAAACTTTTAAAGAATTTCTCCGGATGCTTTCGATTTTTCGGGATTCGTCATGTTTTATTATTTGAGTTTTCTAAGAACTTTACCGTTTTTTTCGAGACTTTTCTCTATTTTGTTTGGACTTCTTATAGTTGTTGTTTCATATTTATCGGCATCTTTCAGGGCTTTTCGGCGCTTTTATATACAAGTACATAAACATACAGATGTATAGATATTTACTTAAATAAAAATGTAATGTTTGCTTAAACGTCCAGATGACCACTAGTGCCAGCTGGCTAACATGATGAGCAACACAAAATATCATACCAAGATAAACTAGTTAGTAAAAGTATATGAATATAATGACTACAAAATCCACAATGCAATCGAAAAGCGCTAAAAAATTAACTGCAGTAGTAACAGCAGCTGCAGCAATTGTGTCAGCAACTACGAAACAACAATAACACTATCAAAGTCATACTAAACTTACATCGCTACCTAACAACAAAAGAACAGAGTGGGAGCCATTGACTGACGAATGTCATCGATGGCATGCAAATGGCAACCAACAAAAGTGGCGACACTGAAAGCAAAACGGGTCGCGCTATACAAATACATATGTACATTAGGATGGCCCAAAAATGCATGTAAAAAAGTAAATTCGGAATTTTAATGCTCTCATCCCATAAAAAAGTTTAGAGGTCACTCAAAGCGCTCAAAGTTTCCCATGTATTTTATATGGGGGAAACCACTTTTCGAAGAGATGGTATAGAATTCTTAATCAAATCAATATCTTTCGATCAGTTTCTCTGCAAGAGATTCCCTGTAAAAATACCCAATTGTTTATTTAATCATTTTTTCATAGTAACAATACTATATAGGCGCCAAAAACCTCCACAGCCCCGAAAAATACAATGGGGGACCAATAAAAAATTGGGTCTCCTAAAGAGAACCGGAGTTTTCCTATCGAAAAATATTGATTTTCAAGAATTCTATACCATTTCTACGAAAAGTTGTTTTTCCCCCATATAAAATACATCTAAACTTTGAGAGCTTTGAGCGACCTGTAAAAATTTTTTGATTTCAAAATAAAAAATAGGGCTATACTTTTTTCGATATAGAACAATCTTAGGGGGGTGAGTGCCTTCCGGCCTTACTCGTTTTGGACAACCCTATTGAAAAAACCTACATACATATGAATGTACACAGATAATAGCAACAATATAGCCAAGTGTAAACTAACTGACAATTGTGAACAGCACGCAGGGCTGCCAACTTGGCTCAAACTGTGCCATTTCTATTTTACTTCAAATGGCACTTAATTTTTCAATTTGGCACAAAGTGTCAAAATGGCATTAATGAAAAATTGTAATATCTCAATAAATTTTTGTGAAATCCTTTGCGAGTACTTCTTTTTCTCAACTAAAATGTTCTAATTTCTATAGTGTTTACAACTGGTTTATCTTACATTGGTATTGGACTTTTGTGTTTCTTATTTTAATGCTAAATGGGAAGAATTTAAAAGAATTACACCTTTTTTGGCACTTTTATTTACCTATTTGGCACTTTTTTTATCCTTAATATGGCACTTCATAACTAAGTATAGTTGGCAACCCTGTCAGCAAGCAAACCATGAAAATCACTAAACCGATTTTGGTAGTAGGTAAAGTAAATAGAATAACAATAGCAACAACTAGTTGATTGGCGCGAGCACAAATAAAGTGTAGCTTCTTCGACATACCTCCATACATACGTACCACTTTTCTGTACATTATGTATGTACCAATGTATGTTGTTGCCAGTTTTATTGTTGGCATGGCTTGTTAAAAGTTGGCGGCAAGACACCAAAAACTTCAGTTCAGAACACAAAAAAAGGTTGTTGACATTACACAAAAATATTTTTGCCGCGATTTTTGGTAAAGTGATGTTTGTGCACTGAGTATGCATAGCAGAAATACATTTGGGAGGAGCGATCGTTATGTATGTATGTATGTATGTACATATTGGAAACATAATTTTCAAACAGCAATAAATTTATTTTGACCAATTTATACTAGTTTCTACTAAACCGTTCAATTTATGCTGAGTTCTTGACAGATCCTTACAAATCGAAACGAATTTTTTAGTTTAGTTTAGTTCAGTTTAATTTAAGCTCAATTTTTGTTGTTTTTGAATGCAGCTTGAGTTTATATCGATTTCTTCAACCATGCATATGTATATTAAACTCCAAAAACCGAAATAAAAAAATCTACCAGTTTTTGCCAGTTTCAGTAAAATTCTAAATTTTTTACTGATTTCTATGTCAACAAATTATTTAATGCCACAACTAAAATTTTCGACTAGTTTCAGTTAATATCAGTATATTGGTTTTCATACCGATTTCGAATATGTGCATATATGTATGTACATCCATATATGCTAATTACTGCTATGCTAATTACTGCATGCGATTCTTAAGACTAAAAAAATGTTCGGTCAGTTTATATACTATATTCTGATAAGCAATTCATATTAAATTATTTGGCATGAAGTTTCGAAAGTGAGGCAGCTACTTTCGACCAGTTTATACCAGTTTTAATTGTTTTAAAATTAGGCTGTCATATATTTTTAAGGAATAAATTAGAAAACAAAAGCTCCTTGTAATAGAATTAAAAGTTCCACAAGTTTATAATTAATATATACATATGTACAGTGCTTCTCATAACTATACGACACCCACATAGTGACAAAATTGCTTACTATATTTTCTTTTATTATTTAATTTTAATTATTTTTAATTTTAATTCTATAACGAAATCCATCTAAATCAAAATTTCAAACTTTAATCAAAATTACACACTTTTTACTCAGAATTTTAGGCTGTGCAGTTTGGTAGCTGTAGTATAATAAAGTGCAAGTTTCAAGATGCTAAAAAATACCATTGATTTTTGGCAATTTTTTTTTGTGCATTCCCCTCCATATAAAAATATTTCGAACATACATAAAAAATCAACGGAATTTTTTAGAAACTTAAAATTTGCACTTTATTGTACTAAAATTTAATAAGGTATAAAACTGCGTACCAAACTTTTTTCTAAGAATTCTGATGTTAAAGTTTTGGTGGAAATTTATTTAGTTCAAGATAAGGCGCGCGTGCGACTAAACAGTCAAACAATTTCGAAGCGAGGATGCCAATAAATGAATATTTTCAGTTAACATTTTTATTAATGATTTGTCGCGCACGTCATATATGTATTGAACAAGTGTACTAAGAACGGTAATAGTTTTGGTTTTAGGTAACAAAAACCATATAATTTCTGGGTGTATTGCTTGCATATGCAAGACCTAGATATTGACCTAGGAAAGAAAACTTCACTGACGCTTAAGAAATGGAAAATGTGAAACAAAAAGCCAAAGTTAAAGCAAAAGAAAACAAGAAAAGAAGCAAGAAAAAGCGAGGCCAGTCGTCGCCACAATTGCACAGTGGTGTCACTGATTTGAATGAAGTCGGCGACAGCGTCCGTCGTCGACTTTTCAACGCTGCTATGTATGTACATATTACGTGCCTGCCGCAAATGTCACGTACCCAGAACGTATTCGTTATTGTTGCAAGACATTGTTGCAGTTGTTGCAGCGCCCGAGCGCTTTGTGCCGCCAACGTCAACGTATGACCACCAGTGTCATCACCAACACCGTACACAATCCAACCCCCCCAGTTTACTTCACTCACTTCATCGCTGCCAGAGCTGTCATTGCACTCACTATGCAACCAGCACACAATGGATTGCAGTGACCAAGAACCCAACGTCGACGGTTCTTGGACGGACAGACTGTCGGTCATCCATTGTGTTGATCATTTGGTGTTGGCCATTTTTGTTGCAAGCAAAGTTTAACTCTATGCTTTTGTCTACCTTTTATGCTACCTTTGTTTACACACAAATACTTAGGTATACGTGCATGCATATGTTGGTAGATAAACACACACATAGTAACTTGATTGCCCACTTGGAACTTATTGCAGCGTGCCATGATGAGATAGTAGTAGAGGGAACACTGTTAAGTTTTTTTCTTCTAAAATATAATGGGAATAAAGGTAGGAGCGCCGTAACTTGTGTTGCGCCCCCAACAACGTGATGTAACCACTTACACATTTACATACAAATGTATACTAGTTTATTTTTGTAGTCGCTTAGTAGCGCTTGCAAGTTTGTTTTGGAAAATACATGAGCTCACGATAAGGTTTTTCAATTTTATAACATTGTCAGTTGAGTTTAATTGCGGAAATAGTTAGATTCAATTAATGTTTGGTGTGAACATACATATGTATGTATATGTATGTAGGTGCATACATACTTTTCCGCTTTCCTGCTGCTGGCGTGAGCGCGTAGTTTACAATACTTAAGTAACAGAATTGAAGAGCGTTTGAACTGTGTGTGTCCTAAGCAGGCATCTAAGTGGAGATTCGTAAAATGACTCATAGGTTTGGTTAAAATATCACCCATTTTCTAATGAATATAAGACCAGAATCTTCAGTTTAGTGCTAATTACAGGTACTTAGAAAACAGGCCCTTAAATTTTTTTTGGAAAAAAGTGGAAGGAGCAGGGTAGAACCTCAATTTTCTGTATACAACATTTAAATATTTTGATTCATAACTACCATACAATCCTAACCTCATAAACGCCTTAAAAATACCACTGAACACGCATCGATGAATATATGACTCCGAAATTTTGTCTATATGTTTGTAATAATGTTGTATGTGAACACCAAAAAAAAATTAACGTACATACATACCTCCCATACAAACCTAACCCCAAAAAATACCATAGAAAGCAGACCGATGAACATATAATTCCGAAATTATGTCCATATGTTTGCAACAATGTTGTATGTAAACCCAAAAAAATTTTACATAATCTGTTTATTTTAACGCCTTCAGAATGCCATCATTAGTATATCGCTGAGTGGAAGATCGACCTATCTCGGCAGCCAGTTCGAAAACGTCCTATCTTAAATAACTTTTCAAGAACGCCCTATTTCATATGTATGCAAAGTGCTTTACTCGGTCTTCTCAATAAAAGGTGTATGCTTAGAAATTTTTTATGTCCAAAGCTCGGAAGTTATGGTCTGATCATGCATACTATGCATAACTTCGAACAACTTCGCATAAACTTCAAACTGTAATTTCGTATTTTCTTTATATGTATTTTGTATATATTTCATTACCCAGAAACTAGCAGAACTTTTAAAAGTTGACCGAAAAATATTGACCGAAATTTGCTAAATTCTTGTCAACGGCGAGACAAACCACTCTAACGAACCAAACATTTCATTGGTACAGACAAATTTTTTAAAGGCCAAAGATTTCGATACTTTGAGCTGTCTGTATTAAAGAGAATAAATAGAATATCCGGACAGCGAAATTTATTTATTTATTTATTTATTTATTTATAATCATTTGTACATACATATTTCGTTGTGATTATTCTTTCGAAAAGCGTAAGTGGAACGCCATCACTAGAAGACAACCGAATGCTAAGTAGATAAGTTCTGCTTGGTTACCTATAATGTGTGCGTAATAAAGCCTTTATAGATACCTGTATAACAAAATGTATAAACAATCTAAAACAATGAGAAGTTGCATGAAAATATTTATAATATGCAGCACTATGTGGTTAAAAACAATAAAAAAAACGATGATAGGCGTATCTAAATCTCTCTCCAGATGGTAAATACTGAACTTATCACTAGAGCTTTTTAGCGAAATGCGGTCGCGATAAGAGGCTATTGCTTCATTTCCATCAGAAGCGAACAACAAATACCTTACATTGGCATCCGCAAGTAAACAAAGCTGCCGCAATTGCAAACTTAGTATGCGATAAGCTAAGAATACACAAGCCGACAAGCGCATTGCAGCGTTGCAAATAATGTCCACTGGGCGCCAGTGTTGCCAGTTTCGTCATTTTCCGGCTAGATTTAGCCGATTGCGATAGCAAACAGCCGGATAAAATTTGGTTTAGCCGGCAGCCGGTTTGTTAGCCGTTTTGCAAAAAAACTAGCTGTTTTAGCCGATTTTGCTATAAGTAAACTAAGGAAAAATAGCCAAAACTTGCTAAAATGTCGCGTCCTACTTTATATTTGGGTCGCTATATTTTTAGTAAGTAAAAGTGCAATACTTTCTACTAAAATAGCCATTTTCCAGGACAAAAAGTAACATAACGTAAACATTTCTAGACAATACCACTCTGTGACTGACAAAATGTACAAATCTGTAAAAATGTACAAATCGTGTGATCCCTGCCGTTTTTATCCGTTTGTTTTTTTTTTGTCAATTTAGCTGGTCGGCCCAAAAAGTTCTGGCAACACTGCTAGGCGCTGGGTCTGTTATGTATATGAGTATGTAGTAAAATGTTGCAGGCTGCGTTGGTGCCGCCGAAGCGGAAATAATTCGCGCAGACACGTGATTGTGATGCCATTCTACGGTAAAACATAATAAAGATTGCATTCGATATACATTGTACATACATTTACATACACACACATATGTACATTAGGGTGTCTCACCAAACAAAGTTGTGGTTTTCCACAGGAACTACACTTTTTTATTTAATTTAAACTTCCGCCAAAATATTTCGGAAAAATATTAAGATTTACGTGAGCTGAACCGATTTGAAAAAATTTCTAAACATTGTTAATAAAATTTCTAAACATTTTATGTATCCCTTTTAAACATACACTCTTCTATCATGTGGGATGATTTTTTGGAGAAAATATTTTTTAAAACTTATTTTAGTTGTAAATAAAAAAACTTAATATTTAGGCGGAAGCCTTAAAATATAATAAATTTTATAATTCCGACGGAAAAACAGTACCGATTTACCCTAATATAAATACATATTACATACATCGGCTTGTACAGCAATGTGTTGCATGCAATGATAATGCAGTTATTTGTATGCACAAAGTTGCTTTATTTAGTAGGGCTCACTCGCACTTCACCGCTTCTTGGCCTGTTCGTGCTGATAAATAATTAAATTTGATGCTAATTTTTCTACATTTTCCAATTCATTCCATCCGTTGATGGGACAAATCGTTTGATTGTAGTGTTTGTTGATGCTTCGATGGCGAATTGCGAACTCGCTAGCTGGTATTTGGCGGCAAAATCAGCGATTGCACGCTTGTCAGACTAAATTGATATTTCTCGCCTCTTGAGGTGGCTGTGCGTGTGTGGCATTTCCTTTTTGTCTTTCGTATAAAGTGGTTTTTTCTATACCATACACCTAATTTGGAGTTTACTAGTTTGAAAAATAAATTTAACGGCGATCCAAACCAAGTTTACTGCGAACTTATAACAGACTCTACTCAATAAAGCCCATTGATTTTTCTAGAGAAACCGATTGAACCCAAATAACAAACTTTGGTAATGAAAAGTCTAAATTTCTTCCTCGTTTTTAAACCAACCGAAATAGACACTATCTCCTAAAAGGATTGGCGAGAAACTCTGAACAAGGTTTTCTCATCTACTTAGAAAAATTGAGGAGACTCTATTAAAAATATTGAACCTTTAGCTAAGGAGAAGGTCCATTCACACAACAACTCAAGAATTTATGCAGAGGGGATGTACAACTTAGACAAATACGGGATAAAGTGAAGGTTTGGGACGATGCGTTAAATGCTCGTCTCAGCGTACTGCGAGTGCATCGTCTGACTATTTCAATAGCTAAGTTCAATGCCCAATCCTTTACCGTCACGATTTCTTTCAATGACTTTTAGGTTCAGCAAATTGATGAAACGTTTAAAATAAAGCCGCTGCAATTAAGCGGGGAATACTGTACACTTTTGCTTCAAGAGCAGTGTCATGCGTTGTAGAGAATGCTCCCGTACAGCTTACGGCGATTGTCCTTTCAAGTTTGACAAATAGATTTCCTACGCTATTGAGTGAGAGTCTGCTCCAACTAATGCATCGAGGTATAGATCCAGAGAGGATATCTCTTGGCGATAGACCCACATTTTAGAAAAATACCTAAATGCCCGAGAATGCTTTGGACGTCTTATACTTAAAGTGAAGAGAAATTTTAGCAATTTTGGTTAATTTTCTTTGATTAAAAAATGTTTATTATTTTTGTATGAAAATATAACTTACTATATTAAAAAACATGCAAATCGAAATTTCAAACTTCATCGAAATTTGAAACTTTCTAATCAGGTTTTGAGTAAGTAGTTTGGTAACCCAATAAATTTTAGTATAACAAAGTGCAAGTTTAAAAATAGCTAGGATTTACCGTTGATTTTTAAAAATTTTTTATTAGCGCAGTTTCTTTCATAAAAAAATTGCTAAAAATCGACAGTAAGTCCTAGGTACTTAAAACTATGTTGCACTAAAATTGATTGGGCTACAAAACTGCATACTCAGAACGTTTTCGGGAAATCTAATTAAAAAGCTCAAAATTTTGATGAAGCTTTGTACAATTTTTGGTAATTTTTGTACAGATTTCGAAATTTTGACTTATGTAGATTTGGTTTGGTAAACAATAGCCACATAATGCTAAAATGTCTCTTCCCTATTAATATTTTCGACGCTGTAGCATTCAGGCAGAAAAAGGTCATAAAAAGCCCAAGCAATCGTTAATTTAACTCAAACCGCAATTGAACATTTGTAGCCTTCATCTCACAAATGCTAGAGCATCAAACGTATTCATAATTGACGTTAGTTATGATAAAAGTCAGCAACGAACGAGAAAGAAAGCCAGCAGTTACATAAGTAAGAGAAATTCTAATAGATCCAATTCCTTGTGCTGATAAGTACAAAGCAAAGGCTTAAAATTCATAAAAAAAAAAAA